AGCAAAGCCACACTTTAAGATTGGGCACAGTTAACCTCAGCAGTCCTAGAAAGTGGAATGCAATTGCTTTGGGGTGCTTTTTAAAAGAGGAAACAAAAATGTTAGAGCAACAAGAAAGAAGCAAAAGGACTTGAGGTTTCCCTAGATCAAATTTCAGGCAACAGAGTTTATGCTGATCCTCAGGATCAAGCTCTTTAGGATGACCACACTTTGTCCCTATGTAGCATAGCAGCTTTAAAGACTTGGGACAGGATTCATGAATTAGAAAAGAGAGTTGATTCATATTTTAGTGTGAAACAGGGTCAGAGAGAAACTTTTAGTCATTTTTTGCAAAGACTAACTGTTGCTGTACAAATAGGGGTAACTGACCCAGAAGCTAGACATATAATAATTGAATCTTTGCCAACATAATATGAGAATACAAACAGATCCTTGGGGCTTTAAAAATCAGATCATCACCCATGGATGAACTGGTTTTTCATACAATGAATGTTGAGACACGTGACTAGGGTACTGAAGCTCGGGTAGGAGAAGCTAATTACAATGATAAGAGAAGACTTCAGAATACCAAATGTTTTAATTCTGGTAGAATGGGACATGTGAAAATGGACTGTAGACAATGGATTCCTAGCAATATTGTCTTCTCTGGGAATGGCAGAAATAAAAGGACTGAGCCTCCAGGTATATGTAGGAGGTGTGGCAAAGGTCAACATTGTACCAATGAATGTAGGTCAATGACAGATTGACAAGGCAACCTGATACCATTGGGAAATGTGATGTGGTGCCTCTCACGGGTCCCCATGATAAATGTGGCCCAGTCGTTCCCAGTTTCTGTGGAGAATGTGTCTTGCTAGGAAAATTTAAAAAATCCAATGACTGCTCTAAAAAGCAATACTGGTCTGGATGATGGATTAAATGTGGAGGATGATTCAAAAACTCCAGTAGGACAGAGGAAATATATATTTTAGCAGACTTCTATAAATGGTCAAAGACCAAAGCTAAGAGTTTGTATAAATGGCATTTTTATTGAATCCTTATTAGACATGGGTGTGGATGTAAATATTATTACTCCAGAATCTTGGCATCTGGATTGGCCTCTACAAGAGGTAGATATTCTGTTCTTGGTAACTGGCACCCTATCTCAGGTAAAACAAAGCACGAGATGGGTTGAATGCATAGGGACAGAAGGGCAAATAGGAAGACTAAGCCCATATATAGCCAATTTTGCAGTGAATTAGGGGGGTCATGACCTATTACAGCAATGGAATACCCAGATTAATATTCCTGCAGCCCCAAAAATTTATGTTTCTGAGAAAAGTTTTAGAAGATATTACAGACAACAAACACCAGTTATTCAGGCTAAGCAGGAACACAAAGCAATTGATAAAGATATCTTCAGAGGTACAAAGAGCCCTACCTTCAAAATGGTTAACTGAGAAAGCAATATGGGTTAAGCAGTGGACTCTAGCTAAGGAAAAGTTGCAAGCTTTAGGACAGCTGGTACAAGAGAAACTAGATTCTCTACTTATAGAAGAATCTTCCAACCCTTGGAATTCTCCTGTATTTGTTGTTAAAAAGAAATCTGGAAAATGGTGACAGATCTAAGGCCTATCAACAAGGTTATTCAAGCTATGGGCCCTCTAAAATCTGGAATTTATCTGCCTTCTCTGTTACCAAATGGATGGCCTCTCATAATTTTTGATTTAAAGGATTGTTTCTTCACTATACCTTTACAAGAAAAGGGTAGAGAAATGTTTGCCTTCACATAGACTACTTAAAATAATTCTCAGTCTACAAGAAGATATCAATGGACTATCCTCCCATAGGGAATGCTCAATAGCCCCACTCTGTGTCAATACTTTGTCAGCCAGCCATTGGAAATAATTCATAAGCAATTTCCTAAGTCTATAATTTACTGTTACAAAGGTGATATTTTGTTATCTGATTCAAATACAGAGACTGTAGAAAGGATGTTTGATGAAATAAAGAAAGTCTTGCCTAAATGGGGATACAGATTGCTCCTAAAATGATCCAAAGAGGAGATTCTGTTACTTAGCTAGGTTACAGAATTGGTTTACAAAAATTTAGTACATGAAAGGAACAAATTAGGAGAGACTGGTTGAGGACACTTAATGAGTTTCAAAGATTATTGGGAGATATTTCCGGTCTACAACTGGCAGTTGGGATAACATCTGATTTAATCATTTATTTAAACAAAACCATAGATGGTGATAAAGACTTGAATAGTCCCAGAGAATTAAGAACTGAAGCGGAAAAGCAATTGGCTTGTTAAGGAGAAATTACAGGAGGCACATGTGAATAGGGTAAATTCAAATCTTAATTGTATTCTAGTTTTATTGCCTTCCAAAATTTCTCCTATAGGAATTTTAATGCAGAGGGATGATGTTATCTTAGAATGTATATTTTTACCACACAAACCAAGTGAAAAAATAAAAACTTTTGTGGAAAAGGTCTCTTAATTGATTATAAAAAGCAAACTGAGACTTCATCAATTAGAATGTATAGACTCAGCTGAGATTATAGTGCCTTTTCTTGCTGATGAAGTAAAACAAAAAGTTATGGGAAGACAATGATCCCTGTCAAAGGGCTTGTTCTAAAATTTTGGGAGAAATTGATAGTAACTATCCCCAAAATGATAGACTTATCCTTATAAAGAGAACTTCTTGGATTCTTCCCCAGATTGTATGTGATTCACCAATAACAGGAGCCCTTACATTTTATACTGATGCAAATAAAACAGGGAAGGCAGGATACAAATCAGAAAAATTAAGTAAGGTGGAACAAAGCCCTTATAATTCTTTCCAGAAAGCAGAATGATATGCTATTCTTCGGGTAGTAAGAGATTTTAATGAACCTCTCAATATAGTGACTGATTTACAATATGCAGGAAGAGTTTTCTTATACACTGAAACTGTTGTAGTTATACCATATGATATAATTTCATTGTTCATCCAGGTGCAAGACATAATCAGGAATAGGCATTATCATATATACATAACACACAACTGATCCCTTACATGTCTGCAAGGTCCTCTAGCACAAGGTAACAAAGAAATTGAAAAATTATTGGTTGAAAGTGTGTTGCAGGCCTCTGAATTTCTTAAAAACATCATGTCAATAGCAAAGGTTTAAAGAAAGAGTTTGCTATTACATGGCAACAAACTAAGGAGATTATAAAGATGTGTCCTATTTACTCTTTCTATAATCAAACATCATTGTCTGCATAGAGTAACCCTAACGGTACTCAAAGGAATGAAATATGGCAGATAGATGTGTTCTAATTTATGGAATATGGTAAATTAAAATATGTATGCCACACCTCAGACATGTATTCATGTTTTCAATAGGCAACTGCCTTGAGTTCAGAAAAGGCTGATTCAGTAATCACACATTTATTAGAAGTCATGGTCATCATGGGAATTCCTGCACAAATAAAGACAGAAAACGATTGAGCATATTTATCTAAGAAAAAGAAATGGGTTTTTGCTTATTATAATATAAAGTAATTACAGGTATACCAAATAATCCTGTAGGTCAGGGAGATATAGAAAGGTCAAATCATACTACAAAGGAAGTGCTGAACAAACAGAAAGAGATGTAAGCCAGGTGGTAGTGGCGCACGCCTTTAATCCCAGCACTCGGGAGGCAGAGGCAGGCGGATCTCTGTGAGTTCGAGACCAGCCTGGTCTTCAAGAGCTAGTTCCAGGACAGAAACCAAAAACTACAGAGAAACCCTGTCTCAAAAAATCCAAAGAGAGAGAGAGAGAGAGAGAGAGAGAGAGAGAGAGAGAGAGATGGAAAATACCCCTGAAATAGATTGCCTAATTCTTTATTAAATTTGAATTTTCTTTTTTTTTATTGAGAAAAGGAAAAAAAAGTATCCGCCTCCTCCCAGCCTCCCATTTCCCTCCCCCTCCTCCCACCCATCTCCCCCTCCCCCAACTCCTCTCCTCCTCCCTCTCCAGTCCAAAGAGCAGTCAGGGTTCCCTGCCCTGTGGAAAGTCCAAGGTCTGCCCCCCTTGGTCCATGTCTAGGAAGGTGAACATCCAAACTTGCTAGGCTCCCACAAAGCTAGAACATGAAGTAGGATCAAAATTCCGTGCCATTGTCCTTGGCTTCTCATCAGCCCTCATTGTTCGCCATGTTCAGAGAGTCCGGTTTTATCCCATGCTTTTTCAGTCCCAGGACAGCTGGCTTTGGTGAGCTCCCAATAGATCAGCCCCATTGTCTCGGTGGGTGCACCCCTCGCGGTCCTGACTTCCTTGCTCAACATGTTCTCCCTCCTTCTGCTCCTGATGTGGTATTTCCCAATGGTATGCTGTGAATAGCATTGGTTAATAAAGAACTGTTTTGAGTCTATAGCAGAGCAGGGCAGAAAGAGCTACATGGGGGAAACTAAAGTGAATCCTGGGAGAAGGAATGCAGAGTTAAGGGAGAAGTCATGGAGCCACTGCAGGAGACAGACATGCTGAAATTTTGCTAGTAGGCCACAACCACATGGTGATGCACAGATTAATGGAGATGGGTTAGATTAAGATGTAAGAGTTAGAAAATAATAAGCTAGAGCTAATGGGTCAAGCAGTGATTTAAATAATGTAACCTTTGTGTGATTATTTTGGGAGTCTGATCAGCAGGGAAATGAGCAAGCAGCCTTCCTTCAACAATAAGGCTTTCCTGAAAAATATCATTCCTTTTTTTCATCTTTCTAAAGATTCTACCTTGAATTTTTCTTTGCTGTGTGAATTCAAATAGACATAATAATCCAAATTTCTTCAGGATACTGAACAGTATCTTTACTAAATCAGAATTTATGTTGTTGAGTGTTTGCTTCCAGGGGCCAAGGAAGCAGAGGAAACGTCATAGTCTTTTATTCTGAAACCACTCAGTGCACTGCCAAGCCTGCTTCTTCTGCATAATGATCTCAGGAGGTAGAGGCCCCTGGAGGAGCAGCTAACTCAGTCTAGGCTTACACTTCTGCTTTACTCTGTGATTATTGTTATGATTTGTTCTACTGTGTGTGGGTAAGTTAAATCCTGTTTACAGTAGTAAGTTGCGATGTCTTCTGTCTCAACACTGCTGATGGTGAGGGTAAAATCTCTGCCAGAACCACTGCCACTGAACCTGGATGGGACTCCAGCAAACAATCTGGATGCAGCATAGATTAGGAGTTTAGGAGATTTTCCTGGTTTTTGCTGATACCAGTTTAATTCATCATTAATGTTCTGACTGGCTTGACACTTGATAGTTACTGTGTCTCCTAGTGATGCAGTCTGAAAAGGAGACTGGGTCATCTGGATGTCACATCTGGAACCTAGCATTGAGAAAGAAAAAAACACAACAACATATATAATGCTGTCTTTTCAGTTCACAGAGCTATCAAAAAGCCAGGTAGCACTGACCACACTGAAATAAGCATTGCTATCATCCATACCTGGGATCCAGAGCAACAAGAGCCCCAGGAGATGAGCAGGAGCCCTCATGTCTGTCCTGTGTCCTGATTGGGAGTGACTTCAGCACAGAGTGTGACCAGTCTGTTAAAAAGTCCTCAGAATATTGGGGCATTCTCTGATTACATGCAAATAAGTGGGGTCTAGATGATATGGGCACAGATGCCCAGCAGTCTCACCTTAGTAACTGACCATGCACCAACATCAGGTCCCACTTTTCTGGGTCATACCAAGACATTTTGGTGTGTTCTGCAGAAAATTTCTTCCTCTCTAAGACTCATGGGACAGTCTGCCTCTGCTGTGCTGAGAGGGGAATTTTTATGTGGATTGTGACTGGGATTTCTCGCTAGTTCTACTATTCATCTTTTACAAAGGCATTTCAAGAAACTGGAAGATGTTTTAAAAGTCAGTTTAATTTGGACATGTGGATATTCTTTTATGCTGGGTCAAGACAGGATTTCTCTGTTAAACAACCCTGGCTGTACTGGAACTCACCCTGTAGACAAGGCTGGCCTCAAGTACATGTGAATATTTTTGAGGCCAGAGAGAGTTCTTCAAGAAATCTAAATCCAAACCATTTTTTTTTGTATTGCCATGATTCAGTTCCTACCCTTGTGTTCACTCTATTTTTCTTATGCTCCCTGGCTGACCTTTCTACTCTGGAACCCTTAATGGTGAATACATGTGTTCTTGGTGACATCTGCTGGAAAGACTGGTAAAGTAACCCCTACTGGACAGACAGCAATGAGCAGAATCAGCTGTTTATCCACGATTACCTGAAATCTGTGTCCTTAGTGTTAATTAGTTGTCCTTTTATTTTCATTCAGTGTTTATAACCCTTTTTCATGGTAATTCATATATCTTACAGTATAAATTCTCACCTCTTGTATACCTTTCTAATTTCTCCAGCGTCATGTGTAAAATAGAATCTGGAAGTCAGAGGGTAAGCAGCTATAATCATGAAGAATGTATTTATTACTTCTTCCATTCTTCACAGATTTAATCATGCTCATACTCAAGTGTCCCAGTTTAAAAGTTTGTTTTTGTCATGTTGACACAAACATATATATTGAGAAGAGGGAATTTTGGTTATTGAATTAATTCCATTAAATTGTACTGATATCAAGTTTGTTCTTTATGATTGATGTGGGAGAGCTCAGTTCACTGTGAGCATTGTCAATGCCTGGTGGATGATCTTAGGTCATTTTTCATTGTCTTAGCTTCAGTTTTACCTTTGTATTTCTGCTTCAAATTTTTTCATTGATTTAACTCAGTTATGGACTGTAAATTATAAGCTGAATGGACCCCTATCCAAACTAATCAAAAGGTGGAGAGAGAACACTCAAATTAACAAGATCAAAATGAAAAGGGGGACATAACAACAGACACTAAGGAAATTCAGAGAATCATTTGATTTTACTACAAAAGCCTGTATGCTACAAAATTGGAAAATGTAAAAGAAATGGACATTTTTTAGATAAGTACCATATATCAAAATTAAATAAGGTGAACAATTTAAATAGACCTATAAGTTGTGAGGAAATAGAAGCTGTCATCAAAAACCTCCCAACTGAAAAGAGCCCAGGACCAGATGGTTTTAATGCAGAATTCTACCAGAACTTCCAAGAAGAGCTAAAACCTACACTCCTTAATGCGCCCAGATAGCAAGATGTCTGTTTCAATTCTAGAGTTTGGAAGTTGCTTACAAAGAACTTCCTATTTTCTTAGGTAACATTATATCCTTCTGGAGCCTTTAATGGAGTTGAAGAACTTATAGTTTTTATTAGTTATGATAAAAGATAAAGTAGATAAAAGTATTGTAGCAGCAATTCTTGCTTGATACCTGTTTTGTTATATGTAATTTTACTGTGGCAAAAATAAAACCTTTTTTTTTTGTTTAAACAGAAAAGGGAAAGTGATGTGGTATTTCCATCTCTATGTTCTGATTATCATTAATGAATAAATAAACTGCTTTGAGCCTATAGCAGAGCTCTAAGGGAACAGAGCTAGGTGGGAAAAACTAGAGAGAATGCTGGGTAAAAGAATAGCAGAGTCAGAGAGACACCATGTAGCCCGACTGGAGACAGATCCTGGAACTTTAGCCAGTAAGCCACAGCCAAGAGGCAATACACAGATCAATAGAAATGGGTTAAATTAATATGTAAGTTAACTGAAAAAAAGGTAGAGTTAATGGGCCAAACAGTGATTTAATTAATATAGTTTCTGTATGATTATTTTGGGTCGAAGATAGTCTGGCAGCCAGGAACTAACAAGCAGTCTCCCTCCCACTACTTCCTAATACATCTCAGAGCCAGAATGGCAGGTGTCCATGCCACCAATTTTGTTAGAGCTCCACTGCTCTTTTGGGGTCCTTTCAGCCAGTTAGCAGGTAAGAGACTGACTGGCAGAGTGCAATGCCAACAATACTACCATTAACATTACCCAGTGGCATCTCTTCTAAGACCCACTATGCCACCAAACTCCATTCAAGGATCATCCATTCTGAATGTTACTGTATCATAAAAACACTTGTGTACATACCAAACACAGGAATTACAGAGTAAGTAAGTTTTGATTAGTTGATTGGTTGTCTTTGGATTTATTGAGACCTAGACTTGACGTTACTGCATCAAATTTATCTAGAACACCCTTGAACTCTCAGACTGACCTTGATGTCAAAATTTTCATGACTCAATTTCCCAGTGTATTACAGAGAAGCACTACTACGCTCAGAATTATACTTTACCCATACATACTTTTAGTACATGCACATGTGCTTATCAAAGTATATGTATCAAACAGTATACCGATGAATATGTAAGTATGCTCATATAAATGTATGCTAGTTATAACTAGAAAATCTAATCAATTTAGATATCCATCAACTTATGTCCAGATAATTAAATTAAAAAATGGACTAATGTTCAGCAGGAAAGAAAACTGAAATCAGAAAACACACAAGAAAATTTCTAAAACTAAAAAATTTATACTTACTGACAAAAATAAATATCCAATGTTCACTATTATAAGTGGATCCTAACTTTAAAGGGCTAGTTTGAATAATTAATCTAGAGATTTTAAAGTTTGGAAGTCATAACATTTTGATGAGAGAGGAATTGATAAGAGAACTTGGTGCCCAGGGCAATGTCCCCAGTTAGTTCCTGGGGCAGCTGAGGATAGGGAACCTGAAATGACCCTATCCTATATCCATACTGATGAACATCTTGCATATCACCATAGAACCTTCATCTGGTGATGGATGGAGATAGAGACAGAGACCCACACTGGAGCACCAGGCTGAGCTCCCAATGTCCCAATGAGGAGCAGAAGGAGGGAGAACATGAGCAAAGAAGTCAGGACCACAAAGGGTGCACCCACCCACGGAGACAGTGGGGCTGATCTATTGGGAGCTCACCAAGGCCAGCTGGACTGTGACTGAAAAAGCATGGGATAAAACCGGACTCTCTGAATATGGTGGACAATGACGGCTGCTGAGAAGCCAAGGACAATGGCACTGTTTTTTTTTTAATTTTTTAATTCATTTATTTATTAAAGATTTCTGTCTCTTCCCTGCCACCGCCTCCCATTTCCCTCCCCCTCTCCCAATTAAGTCCCCCCTCCCTCAGCCCAAAAAGCAATCAGGGTTCCCTGTTCTGTGGGAAGTCCAAGGAACCCCCACCTCCATCCAGGTCTAGTAAGTTGAGCATCCAAACTGCCTAGGCTCCCACAAAGCCAGTGCATGCAGTAGGATCAGAAACCCATTGCCATTGTTCTTGAGTTCTCAGTAGTCCTCATTGTCCGCTATGTTCAGAGAGTCCGGTTTTATCCCAGGCTTTTCCAGACCCAGGCCAGCTGGTCTTGGTGAGTTCCCAGCAGTATGGCGGTTTCTCAGGAAATTCGGGATCAACTTACCCCTGGACCCAGCAATACCACTCTTGGGAATATACCCAAGAGAGGCCTTATCATAGAACAAAAGTATATGCTCTACGATGCTCATAGCAGCATTGTTTGTGATAGCCAGAACCTGGAAACAACCTAGATGCCCTTCAATGGAAGAATGGATGAAGAAAGTATGGAATATATACATATTAGAGTACTACTCAGCAGTAAGAAACAAGGACTTCTTGAATTTTGCATACAAATGAATGGAAATAGAAAACACTATCCTGAGTGAGGCACTGGGTTTTGATCCTACTTCAGGTTCTGGCTTTGTGGGAGCCTAGCCAGTTTGGATGTTCACCTTCCTAGACATGGACGGAGGGGGGAGGACTTTGGACTTTCCACAGGGCAGGGAACCCTGACTGCGCTTCAGACTGGAGAGGGAGGGGGAGAAGAGTGGGGGAGGGGGAGAGGAGTGGGAGGAGGGGGAGGGAAATGGGAGGCGGGGAGGAGGCAGAATATTTTTTTTCAATAATAAAAGAAAAAAATTAAAAAAAAGAGAACTTGAAAAGGGAAGAAGATAGTAGAATGTATGTGATGTGAAAGTAGTCAGAAGACTGTGAGCAAAGAGAATTAAGTATGGAGAGAATAGAAAATAGCGGAGAGTGACACAAAGTAGGAGTGTATAAAAAATCCTAAGGAAACACACTATTTTCTTACTCATATTTTAAAAGCAGAATCAATAATCAGTGAAGCACACATCATGGTGTATATTGCTTCTCTAGAAACCCCAGATACCAGATACAAGATACAGATAGATACTAGTGTCATTTATAGGAAGACTCAATAGGAGAGAGATCCAAAGCCACAAAACAATGCAGACTACTGTCCGTTTTCTTGCTTGCCCACAAGAATTAGGTCATAAATACTATTTCTAAAGACACAATGCATTTTGGTTGCAGAGCATAGAAAACTGGTGGTGGAATTCAGCCAAAAGTCTCATTCTTGCTCACTAGCTTTTACTTTTTAACTTTTACTATTCTTCGATATGTTCTTCCAAGCCCTGATGGCAAAAATTTTTATTAAAAGTCTTTCTCAGTTTTGGTCTTCATGACCTATAAATACAGCTGTCTGTTTGACAGGATGATAACTGGTATAAA